CTATGGAGACCAATATATACATAGGTCAAAATACTTCATGATACTTAGATTAACCCACACATTTAAGTATGACAATAATCTCCAATAAAGTGTTTAAAAAACTCAAATGAAGCCTTTAGAGAAAAGCTGATTTGCAGGGAGTTTCATTTCAGATGAAAGCTTATGTTTTCAGAATTTGAAACGATAAAAATTGATTTTTCAAATACTAATAATGCACTGCTTTCCAGAGAAAATGTTTCCGAATGCCTAATATAAGAAAATGTCACAATGAAGAAGAAAAGAAGAAATACTTTATTCAATATCAAAAAGCAACTGCACTGTGAATTACCAGAAAATATCAAGCTAACAACATATTCATATTTACTTTTAAAGCTATAATTATGTACCAATATAAATTTAACCTTACATAAAGAATTGGAAGCACTGGGTCTGATCAATGTGAGAAAGTTCTACCGAGACTGATGCTCTATGTAACATTTTATTTTAATTTTCTCTTTTAGAGTTATTATATTATTATATTAAAGCATATAAAATCTGTGTTCAGCAGAGCAGGCTTCAAATCATTTTAGTTAATTGGCAACTATGGCAGAGCATGAAGCATCCCTCTTTCCCAGTAGTTTCATTTTAAACAGATCATCCTCACATATAAAAATAGCAAATTGCATTAAATTTTATATAAGACATTTTACGGCATCTCGCATAGGAACAGCTATAAGCAGCTTCCACGGCATATATGACAGCAAACAGCTTTGACTAAACTCTCTGGCAAGAGATACAGAGAGATTCAGGATAGGATAGAGCCTATATCGACTTACTGCTTAAAATACAGCACAAAAAATTGCAGGCTTAAAAAACAAGCAGAATTTGCCTAAAATTCCAAGTGCTAAATTCTGGGATTATGGCCTCCAAGAAGAAAATGAAGATATTTTAATATTTCTCCCAGATCTGACTGTTTAATGCTTGCCATAAAGCATAAAGTCTGATTCTAAAAACAAAAACCAAACCAAAAAAACCCTCTGATTATCCACTGGCTGCTTTATTCAAATTTTCCAAACTGAAATAAGGATGATAGTTAGCTGTGACTGGAGTTTTTAAAACGTCATTCTAAAAACTTTGCTATTTTTACATGACCATTGTTATCTACTTCAGACACTACTAACTTTAAACTCTAACTTATGGTTCAAAGATGCTTTTCTGTCTAATTTGTCAAAAGCTCATCTTTACAAAATATAAATGGCTTTCAATGCGTTGGACAGATTTTTAGCAGATACATTTCTGGGGCTTGGCTTAAACTTTTGATGAACAAATCAAATTCATAGTTTCAGAAAGCATGTTAATAGAGGAAGATTTTAAAAGTGAATCCTTCTCTCTCTTTATCTAATGGGTTTCCATAGGAGGAATACAATCCTGCAAAGGAAGAAACGCTAAGTCCTCTGATATGTTCCTTTTATATTCTACAGCAAAATAAGGTATTCTACGAGGTCTACAGATTAAAAAATTAACTATTCCACTGTTAAGATTTCAAATTCTACAAAAATCATAGAACATTTTTCTTTTTCTTAAACAGTTAATGTGCCACAAAGGAGAAAAAAGTTAGAAAGACATCAAATTTACCACAGTAATAGTTTATATAACCCTTAAGAAAATATCTATCTCAATGTTTATATTTTCATGTTATTTAATATCTCAAATCATTAATGTTATCATTATCATCACTCAATGGAACACAAAGTGAAATTCAGGACTTCAAAACTTGTTGCTCAGAGTTAGTAATGGTTTTTTTTTTTTTTATTTTTTCTTTCTCTTTCAAAGAGCAAGTTTATTAGGAAGCTAAATACAATTGGTAAACAATTTAACTTTCCTCTAAGTATGAATAATTATCTGGTCCGAGACAATACCCACAATCAATAATTTTTCAGTGCAGATAAACTACTTTTGTTCTTGTAAATTTTCCATATTTTCACTTAGGTAACAATGAGTTAGAGAAATACAAATCTAAGTTACTATGACCTGCTTGGTGCATCCAAGAAATCATATAATATCCAGGGGCTCAAAACAAAATAGAATAATCAAGCTTTTCACAACATTCAGCTGGTTAAAGATTAGCTGTGTGAAAATGCAAGAAGGAAATATGTTGAATTACGGAAAAAATTAGAAAAAGGATTGTCAAAACTCTGGAAAACAGCCACAGAATACTACATGTTCACTTATCTTATTATAGATTTTATGTAATTAAGTAAACAAAAGTAAACAATCAGTAAAGATTTTAGGTGTACCTCCTTGCTTCCCTTTGTTAGTTTCATTCACTGCCTAAAATTATACTTTACACAAGGAGGGCTTAATAAACATGTTTGAATGACTACACATAATCAAAGAAACTCTTTGTAAACGAGAACCGCTTCACTGTATTTGTTGACTTAGCATATGGAACCAGACTATTTTCACTAGCAAGTCAGGGACATATATAATCTACACATCTATACATTTAATTGAGACACATGCTTACCACATGAAACTAAACACCGTATCTGCAGCATAAGCTATAAAACACAACATGGTGTTTTGTACACACACAAATTCTCCATTTCACTTTTAGTGTTTGAGGGTTGATTGAGTTGCTGAAGAAGTCCGGTATAGACAGTAAACCTTTGGTTTAAATAAAGGATACACTTTAGACTGCTAACATAACAACTGGCCACTAATGTGGCAATGACCAATTTAAGAGGAACTTGTACTCTGAGAAATGAACATAGTGGAAGTCAGGATCAGGGTTTATAATTGAAAGAGTATAATAGATTTCTCATACAATACCCAACATTAAAGGTTTAAGCCTATCAGAAATGAATGCAAAGTTGAACCACAAAAAGCAACATACACTGTCTTAGAAATAGTAACAATTTCTGATATTACTTGAGACTATCAAATACTAGTTTAAAATCATAATTGTTATTACTGGAAGAAAGAATAAAACAACACAAATCTAAGGTTGCTTTCTCATCTGACTACTGTACTTACAATTGTAAAGCTGTTTCACTCGCAACACAGTTATTTCATTGGGAAATTTATAGTACTGAATTTAAAGACTAAGTTATTTTAAATGACTTTCTTTGAAGTTGACTTAATTTTTGTCTTTTTTGATTATTAAAATACCATAATCTTACCCAGATTACACAAGTGTCTTCCAAAAGTTCATAGAAGATATGTATTATGAAAAAAAAAAAAACTATGCATGGATTTCAAATTTTTGCACCAAAATAAACTTATTTCTTAATTAAATTTTCCAGGAACTTTGTGAAATATTCTCATCTACAAATCCCTTGCTTGGAACTATAACATAACTCCATTTGAGACTTGGAAATTATAAACAAATGCAAAAGCCCAAAGGAGTCCAAAAATTGGGACTATCAGTTAGTACAGACAAAGGAAAACTAAAAAGCAATGTTAAATCATGAAAAGCAAATACAAATGCTTTGTGTAAAAATGAGACTCCAATTCGCAATGGGCAGGGGAGAAATTTTTATTTCAAAGGGAAAAGTTCAAAGACTGGAAAGTTTAAAAGAATTCACATTGTACAGTGAAATCTGATTATTTATGCCACCACAATGAGAGAAATTTTGGCTGGTGAGAGTTGCTTCCCATTGTTGGCACCGCATATCCTTTTTGCGCACTTGCAACACAGAGTAACAAGTAGTCATAATTACTTAATACAAGTAGTAACAAGTGGTCATAATTACTTAGGAGGTTTTCAGAAGACACAGTCCTAAAAAGAGGAAAGTGGGAAAACTGATATAGTCCTGGATGCACACTCTTGTATCTACCATTCATCAAATGATATATTTTTATAGAGAATGAATCTGATAGAGAATAACTGAATTCTGTACATGAAAAAGGACCAAATTCCCCAGAAGACACCACCCCAATTGACCAAGTTGGTTAAGGAGTTAGTGCTGACTGATAAATCTTGTGTCATCAAGGAAAAAATTTCTAAATAAATTGCTTAGTGTCAGACTGGAAAAATGATTAATTGTGTCAAATATGAAAACCTAAATGATGCCATATATCATTTCTCTAATTTGATAGATACTACTTTATTAATATAAGTAATTTGCAGTTGAATCAAGTCACAAAATTCTCTGAAAAGCAAAATAGAAGTTCTCCAATAGAAGTTCTGTACTGAACACTAAACACTGGGAATCACGTTTGGCTGGCATCATAACCGAGAACATTTGTATTGTCTTGAAAGAATTCAATTGCTCACAGTTTGGAGAGTGGTTATCATTTCCTCATTATGATGCAAGTCTTTACTTTGTTTGTAATCCATAAAGCTACTGGCAAGTCTAAGGCTGTCCTACGCATAGTGATGTCTTTGCAAAGACCATTCGGAATGCCATGAGGAGACGATGTCTTCACAACTGAGGAAAGTTTTTCAAACTGTATGATAAAAATACTAGTAAATCCCAGTTAAGAATTTAAAACTGACTTCTCCTGGAAACAAAAAAGGTCAGCTGAATAATTTTAGAAAAATAGTAGGCCCCACCAAGGGGCACTATTTAAACTACTTCCCATATTGTGTTCTGCAAGTTAAACATTTTTAAAATAAAGATTTTAAATGTTTATTCCAGGAGCTGATCCATTCCTATGTGTTAAGGTGATCCTACCTTTGCCTTTACACTTTTCCATATGCTGATTTCTACCAAATGCATCCTTGACATTAACTAGCATTTTCACTTTAGGCAGAGGAGCAACTGATTCCTAAATATGAGTTTCCAAGCTAGCCAAGTTGAAACATATTAGATATAGTGCTCCCTTGGCCATTCCTTAAGGAATAATATGGGTAACACACCGGGAAGGCAACATTTTGAAGTTTGATAGGTCAACATCTTGCAGGAATATAAGCTGGTGGTGAGGAAATAAAACAAGCAAACCAAAAAAAAATATACACTTACAAATGTATTTTAAAAGGCATCCAGTCATCACTGGTGTGCAAGGATAATTCCTACCTCAGATAGTCTCTGCGACAAAGGATAAGATTAGCTTTAGTGTACAGGGTCGAGCCCACCTCTCCCAAACGACAGTCACAGCAGGCACACTTCAGGCAGTCTTCATGCCAGTATTTGTCCAGTGCCTTTAGAAGATATCGGTCCTTGATCTTTCGGTTGCAGCCAGCACAACCTTTCGGCTTGGTGTCTGGCTGGACTGAGAGCATTTGTATACCTAAAGGAAGACAAAAACAGAAAAGAGAGCTGAGACTCCAAGACAGAATAAAAAGATGTCAGAAGAACCTCAAACAAGTTAAATATTTAATATTGAATTTTTGTAACAGTATGAGATTTTCTGTTGTAGAAAATCAAGCTAGATCTTTGGAAACAAAAAGTCTGAAATTCAGTTCTTACTGGATCATCTGTCGTCACACATAAAAAATTGGTAATAGTAATAAATTCGTGTTGTACCTAATAAGTTGACATTAAAGATCAGAAGTTCAAGAACATTAAATTATTTCATAGGGCCCCTATTCTCTGTACAGAATGGTTTTTATAAAAAGAAAATATGAATAAATGGCTAGCAACCTGAAAAGAAAGCTATTAACAAACTAACCCATGCATAGTCTACAGGAGACAAAAATCAGTTTTGTCTAACTGGTTAAAAATTTCACTTAATATGTGCTTGATGGGAGAAGAATGTACCCTAATCTTCCTTAGTTTAGAGACGGTTATAGTTAAGTACATAGTATAGCAACCGGAAAAGATGGCCAATTCCATATTGCTTGTTTGCATCCAAATACTTTCTTCTGTGTCCTTGACATTTCAAAGTATTCATTATGTGAAAATAAGAAAATATATTTATACTCACAATCATTAGTCAGTGCCTATATTATTGGCAGTTTTCTTAACTATAACAACACGCTTATATATAAAAGTAAAGTATAAAATTAAATAAATTATTACCATAAACATGCAGTTGTTTGTTTTATAGGAGAAGGAACAATAGAAGATAAAGTCTAAATATACATATAAAGTTTACACAAACATGCCTGGTAAATACATACGTATGTTATATATACGCTATAATAGACATAGGGATATTTATATATTTTAAAATGATATGCATATCATAAATAAAGGAATCTGGTTGGGTTCTAAGGGTTTTGCAACTTGATTGAAATCTTTTCGGTGATGGATATTCATCTTTGAATTTCTTATTTCCTAGGTGTCAAACACCCAGCCTTGAAAAAAGCTGAGGGTAACCATTCAAAGCTTCACCTTTATCAAATAACACATTTTAAGTTCCATAAAATACTGTAGGCATCATCAATTCCAAATTCCCTCATTTTACAAATTATGATACAGAGGTGCAAAGAGAGATCAAGGGACTCACTGAAAACTGAATGGCAGTTAAACTAGCTGCAGGCCTGGGGCAAAGCGGCCTTCTTACAGCCCAGAGATCTCTTCACTAAACTTTGATTCCTCTCCCAGGGATAAACTTTTAAACTTAGACGTAGAAGGATCCAAAACACCAAATGCGCATGCATTTGAAAGAGTTTCAAGAAAAGAGATGTGAAACTCCAATTTTCTGCCTTTTCTGCACATTTCCCTTCTCCAGCTGCTTCTGACACGTTTAGATAAAGGCTTCACCCCTGTTAGGTTCACCATCTTTTTTGTCTGTTTGTTTATATAATCACAGGCAACTGTACAGTCGAGTAACTTTCCTACCTACCAGTAATGTAAGACTTGCCTATAATATTGTTATGTGTTGAACTTTGATAGGAAAATAACTTGCCTGGTAGAGCTGAGCAGTAGGGAATGGCAGGGAGGAAAGTAGGGTGCTGTGCTTTCTGAATGATATGCAGAGCCGCAGTGCTGGAGCTGCAGACCAGCAGCTGGATTTGTACAGAAGAGCAGGTGGTATCCCTATAGCCTGCTTTCTGCTCCTTTTCTTTGAAGAAGCTAAGGGCCTAGTGTAGATTAATCATAACCCTTGATAGCTCTGCTAAATCTCACTCTCTAGAACTTCTAACAAATGAAGTTTCTTTGATCCGAACTAGTTATCCTCTTCTAGCTAGGTTCCACAAGGAATGAATCCAATTAATTACAGGGCTGGACAGACACAAGTGCCTCTTAGCGGTCCACCTTGGGGGAGGGGGAAATTTTGGTTTGCTAACTGACATTCTGGATTTGGTGGTGGAAAACAGGCAGAGATATATTAAGACTAGTCATTCTAATTATCTAACTTATAAGTTGATTATTTTTTCAAATCACAAAGATCAAAGATGAAAACATTTTAAGAAACGTTTCTTAGTTTTTTAGTAGTAGGCAGGCTCTACGCCCCATAGTTCTGTAACTTCGATTTGGTGTACAAGGTCAGCTGTCTTTACACAAAATGCTTTGCAACCAAGACAGGGGATGCCAACATTTGGCACAAGCAACGCTACCCCGCTTGTCTTCACAAAATGTTTTTGTTGTGTTGACATTTCAATTTAGCACTCAGAGGCCAATTAATATTTGAAACTCTTACATTCTCTTTGGCCTTGGGCATAAAAGGAGTTTGATATTTTACACTCCATCCCGGCACAGAGAACACCATCACATTTCTCTTGAAAATGGAATCATTCAATGCTATGCAAGTTAACTGCAGAAAAAGAACAATTCTGTAGTCACCACGTTGCCAGGAACCTGAAAGGCATAAAGCAGTCAGCGTCCTTCCCTCGTCACCCAGAAGAACACGTCTGGGTAGAGTTATGGGTTCGTGGCTGAGAAACATTTCACAAGTTGCTCATAGCACATCAGGGCTCATAACTAGTTTTAGATTGGCATGTAAATTGTTCCGAGGGAAATTCTTATTGCCTCTGAGACTCTGCCATTCTGAGTTATTTGACAGTTTAAGGGAAATCATAATTAAAAAAAAAGACATAAATAATAGCCTGTGCAGTGTGGTGTGCAGAAATAAGTAGAACCATTTCATTGAAACTCTGGTGAGCTTTTAATTGCCTGGATTGCATTGTGAGGCGGCCTAACGGTTGATTGCCCCCATTATGTTCCCTTGTTCTATGCCATTCATCCGCACAGTCTCAGCTTCAGTAGTTAACACAACAAAGTAACCACAACTCCACAACACACAGGGGTTTAAAAATAATCATCATCGGCATAAAAGATCTGCAGCACTTAGACACAGTCTTTTATAATTTTGGACCAACTACACAGAGCGGATGGGAAACATTGTGTCCCTGTCGGAAGATTCACAGAGAGCAATTTGGACCAGGGCATCCAGCATACAGGGAGAGTTGGAAGAGCTGAGGTGCCTCAGAAAGATGCTAAAATGGGAATGCAGGTTCTGCAGCTGGGAGCAGTGACACAGATTAAAAGAATTTGGCCAACACAGCCACTCCATTGCCAAGAAGTACCAAACAAAAGATTCCCTCTCCTCCTGCCCATCTTCATCCTCTCCCCAGCCCCCAACCCAGATTGGAAAGCTGGATTGGGCCTAAAAGCTTGTTTCTCTCTGTTCACTGGCCCAGAGCATCCCTACAGGCTGCAGCCCCCCTAAGGGACAACAATGCAAATAGATGTCCCCAGATCTCAGGCACTGGAGCTGCTTAACTCTGTTCTGCCCCTTCAACTCCCAACCCCCCTCCCTCCCCTGCCACCCCCTCCCCTTTTTGAGCAATGGAGCTGGGAACCAATTTGATTCCCTTTTTCTCCCATGCAGCTGCAAGGCTCAGAGATACTGACATTTTTCCACTCTTATCAGTTTAATTACAGTTACCATGGCAGCAAAGTGCTAGTGCTTGGCAAAGGCCAACAAGAGATTTGCAAGACTGAGTTCAATTTTGATGCAGCTCACATGCAAAATAAAAAAAAAAAAAATAAGAAACATACATACACTCTAACAAAGAATCCCTTGAGGAGTTTACCCTCCAAGCTTTTGTGGTTGTGTCTTTGCAGCCACACAGGGATGGTTTGCAAAGAATGTAGCAGTATTTGTTGCATCTAGCAAGATTAATTGGTTTAAGCAGCAGTCTTTCAAAGCAGTTACAACAATAATATTGTGGATCTTTGAGAAAGGCACATAAACAGCGGAAGAGCAGCAAAGCTCTGGAGCAGCCAAGAGTGAAGAGCGCCGGCAAAGTGCATCTATGATAGATTGTAACCTTACCAAAACTTTTCTCCTTTTTCTGCATGAGTTGACTTAGTCGTGCCTGACTTGCAGCAGCTTCTCATGGAGCACCCAGCCCAGAGGCAGAAGGCGAAGGGAGGGTTGCTGTGGCTCAAGTGCGGACCCGGTGAGCTGCCTACCCCGCCGAGGACGGACTATTGTGAAGCCACTTTGGGAGCGGGTCGGAGTGGCGGCAGAGGGTGGGGGAAGGGAGACGGCTGCCAGACAAGACACGGCGCACACACGGAACCCCTCGCGGTGTGGCGGTGTGCAAAACGATGGCGAATGACAAAGCCACATGCTTCCCTAACTCTGCCCGTAATCCTAAAATCCCAGCGGCCCCCTTTAGCTTCCTGGTAACAAATGGATTTGATTAAACTGTCACATGCAGCGTTAGCATAGCATATCATGTTCAATATGAAAAAGATCATAAATCTGACTTGTATTTCATAACAGCAGTCTGGGTAGCCCCTGGAAGAATGTGCTGCATCAGTTTGAATTTCAGCCCATTAGGACCTAGGCACCCCGTTCCGCTGGGCCACTTCCCTCCCCCCCCCCCCCCCCCCGCGCTGCCACCCCCAGACACTGCGACTCTGCCTTCGCACAGGAACAGCGTTTGGTTTATTACGGCTCTGGGGAGGGGGCGAGGCATAAGTGTCGACCAGAACTAAAATACTGCAATTTCACCTCTTTTTTTGGGGGGGGGGAGGGTTGGGAGGTGTCATGAATCCCAGTAAGTAATGAGTGTGGTGTCCCCCCAGCTACGCAGGAGCGAATCGCGTCCTCCCTGAGACTGGGAGCAAATACTTCCCCCGATGGCAAACTCTGCCCGCCCCTGCGGGCCCGGGAGTCAGGGGTGTGAAAATGCTGCAGTTGGTGGGGAACTTTGGCTGTTATGCACTCGAGTCGTACTTGAGCCGCTGCGCGCCGCAGCCGCTCGCCCTCCTTCCATCACCAGCGTCCGCCTGCATCTATTTCATGTCTCATCATAAAAATAATGAAGCCTCCCATGATTTAAACAAAACCGTCTCAGCAGAGCTGCAGCCCGAGTGAAAGTTGCAGCGCCGGAGCTGGGTGGGCTGGGTGGCAGCTCCGGTTTATGCCTCATTAAGGAGAGAAGCTGGAGAAGAAAAAAAAAAAATACCCACATCCGCACACGCACGCGCGCACCCGCAGACACACACAGCACAAATAAGCCGACGCGTGTGTGCACGGCGGCTGCACTTACCTTCTCAATGAAGCGATACAGGGGGGAGGCCGTTCACTGAGCACAGTGGCTGCTTTGTAGCGCTTCTCCTTGGGAAAGGTCAAAAAGAAGCATTGTTTGAAAAAAAAAAAAAAGGAGGGGGGGAGGGAATCTCTATTTTTTTTTTTAAGTTTAAAATAATGAGGTCCTCCAGGATCCGCCAAGGAAAGGTGTTGACCGCATCTGAGCCACAGGTGTTCTCCTTTTAGGCAAGTGCATGCAGTCCGAGGCTGGCTCTCTCCGTCCTGGCTCCACACAACTTACCCCAGCAGCGTGCGAGGAGCCGAGCTGGAGGAAGCCCCGGCTCTCGCAGCTGCAACATGCAATCCCTTCCCAGCCAGACCTAATCCAGCCCCAGAAAAGGTCACTCAGTTATTACGGAGCCGGCGGAGCTCCGGCAGCGCTTGTCACGACCACCGAGAAGCTGCTGCCTTGCGATTGAAGACTATTTACCTCGCGCCCCCTCCCCTCCCCTCGGCTCTCCTCCGCCGCTCTCCCTCCCGCGCTCGCTGGCTCCCTCGCCCGCCGGCTCTCGCGTGCCTGCTCTGCAGCTCAGTCAAGTACGGCCGCCCTCGGAAAGTGCCAGGCAGCCTCCAGACGCATCGGGCTTTGTTGCTAATTTCCCAGGGTGAAAATTTACAAGCCTGGGAGAGCAGTCGGCGCAACCGCATGCATATGCTACTCACGAGCGCTGGGGACGACCCCGCACGCAAAATGTGACCTCTGCGGGATTTGACTGGGCAGAGGACCCTACCTACTCCAGGACCCGTGCAAAAAATAAAAAAAATAAAAAAAAAAAAAAAAAAGAAAAGAAAAAAGAAAAAAAAAAAAAAAGAACTGCGAAGGAGCTCCGGAGGCTAAGGGCAGGGCTCCTAAAACAAGCGGGGCATTTTGGAAGACGTGGCCACTTTGGGAGCAGATTGCTTCCCAAAGCCCTGTCTGGAGCTACCGATTATGGAAATTAAAATCAAAGCAAGGGAGTCAAACTGTCACCAGAATACACCGGAAGAGCCCACAACCCGCCCCTTTAAGAATGATGCCTCGGGGGTGGCGTTTGACTTCCACTGGTGAACTCGCTGAAGTCGCCGCCGCGCGAGCCAGCCCGGTGCAGCGACCACACACGCCCTCCTTCGCCCCTTCCCCAGTGGCCAAGAACCCAACTGTGAACTTGTTCCCCATTAACCAAAGCCGACTCCCGCCCCCACCATCACAGCGCCACAACACACCTCCTGCAATCACTTGGAGTCCTTGAAAACTCACATGCTCCAACGCAAAGCACCCCACAGCACCAGGAAACATGCTTCCGGGACGAACTTAACGAATCTGTTTCTCTACCGTTACCTCTCTGTCCTCATAGACTGGTGTTAAGGCCTTGACACCTTTTTAGCCCCTGCAATAGGTCCGCTCCTCCCTCACCCCCTCTCCTCTTTACTTTGCGTGTAGAAAGGCCACCGGTAGCTGTAAAACCTCTCATTATTTTTCTAAGTTTTCGAACTTCACTCATCCTCTCTTTGGGCAGCTGTTAAAGCATCCTCCCCAGATTTTACAAAACCTTGTCAAAGGTCAAGCTTAAAAACAGCCCAAATCTGAACGGTGAAACAGCCAAGGAAGATTCAATGAATGGCTGCACCGCGAAAAACTTTTCTTCTCAGCACCATCAGGTTTTATTGAGATCTAGTTTTATTTTTTAAAGTCAAAGCACCCCCCCCCATGAGTATTTAAGCTAAATGATGCTTCTCTTTATAAAGAATAGTGCAGCAAATTGAAGGCTCAGAATCAAATGTAGGTGGCTTACTTTCCTCTCCCTGTAAAAAGGAAACAAGACTCAGAACTAACCTGAAAAATATCGAAATTCACAGACGGCAGATTAATGAGAACCCCTTCCGTTGACTTGTTCTGTGCATAGGCAGGTTTCTTAAGTTTGGCTTTCCTGGGCCGTCTATGCAGGCACACATGCACCTCACCCATCCGCTCAGTTAGTTCCTTGCTGCACCACCCCACCTCTCTCTACTAGAGCCACTCGGAAAACACCCCAGAGAGCGTGTGTCTCTCACGCGCTCAGCCAATGCACTGAGAAGAAAAGAGGGAGGGAGGGAGAAGTATG